CACTCATTTATCCATAAATACCATTATCTTCAAAATTAATAGATTATTGTGTTATAAATTCACCATTTTGGTTCTTCCTTATCAAATTAACATAGGAATCATTCTTATTCACAAGTAGACATTTCTATTTTATATATTATTAAGGAAAAAAATAATAACATCCATTATAATCAGATTTAACTGATATTTCTTTAGTCTTTGAATACTATTTATTAGTATTACTCATCTCATAAATATACATCTTCTATTAATAATAAGGTTAAAACGTGAATATATTATCATTAATAAAGCATAATCTTATACCAAATGTATCAACTTATATCTTTTATATTACATTCCATTTTGAATCCTATGATGACTGTTCTATTATTAATATTAAATTATCTCTTCCACAAGAAATCAGTCTATTCTATTACTCATTCAAACTTAATCCTAATACATAATTAGTATGATCTGTAATAGTTTATGAACATTTCCATCCATTCTACTTAAACCAAAATTTAATTGTCTTATCATAACTTCCAGATATCATAACATCTTCATTATTGTTCAATATTAAACAATAAATCCAACTAGTATGTCCATTTAATTTGTATTAGCAAATCCATTAACAATTTTGATTCATAGACCATATTATAATCTATGAATCACCACTTCCTGATATAAAATGAGTTGACTTCTTCATGAAGTTTAAAGTAGTAACATCTTTAGAATGTTCAGTTAGAAGTTGAGTTAGTTTCAACTATTCTTATTTGAATTCCAATACTTTGATTTATTTACCACATCCTGCTAATACAATTGATTTATCTTTATTAATAGCTATTGCATAACAATATTCATTTTATTTAATTGATGTATTATGTATTATCTTATAATTGAATGGCTTATTATTTTATTAAACATCGACCTTTTCTTTTTATTATTATGTATTTTAGTATTACAATTAAACTAAGGTTTGCTGCTTTTATTTGATTAATTGATTAATAGTTGACTTGCAAATTGGGTTAAGGTGTTAAACTAATGAATTAGTAAATGTTTGTATTGATGGATAAGATAATTGAGTAATTTATGGAGCAGATTTAAGAGGGCTGTTAAGAATTTGTGATTAAGGACCAAGAGTAATTGAATCAAGAAAAACATTTATTCCACCAAAAGCTGACTAATAATAAGATAATATTTCAATAAATTACCTCAATTTCTTATTAAAGTTCTTCACAACATTCTTCCACTTGATTTTTGAATTTTGCAAAATTTGATTGAGTTTTCATTTAAATAATTAATAAGATACTTAACTTTTGTTTATGTATTTCTATTAAAATTAAGTAGTGTTAAAAATTAAAATATAGAATTTATATTCAATATTAATAAATATAATTATGAAAACTAGGAACTGTTAAAGTAACACAATTTATAATATAATGCAAATTTCTGAAGTATAATATTAGAGATTTAGCATGCTATTATTGAAATGGAGGTATGTGTGATTTTTTTTGGAAAGCATGAAGAACAATTTCTAACCAAAAGTTTTTTTCATAGGTTTTTGATTATAAAAACTAAATAAAATCTTAACATATATAAAATGTAGTGTAATATCAGTAAAATGTTATAATCAACATAGAACTCAATTTGTGTTGGACTAACAGAAGAAAAAAATAAAATAGTTATTTGAATCATTTGATTCTTTTTTATCAATGATTTCTTGTTTTTTTATTAGAAGCAATTTTAAATGAAGATTTAGAAACAATTAACAACTGAATAAATAACTACAACTTGGATTGATTTTGTGTTTATATCTTTTATAGGGAAAATTCAAATGGATTAAAGTTAGTGAAATATTATAATTATTTTAAAGGCATTTTCCATAATTCTATATAGTTAAGAATCTAAATTAAAAAAAAACATCAGAACAATTTTGTTTTATTTATTAATGCAAAAAAGCTTAAATAATTTGAAAAACACCCTAATGCAATCAAACAAGTTCATATGTATTTGGGCTTAGTTTAAAATAAATTCAATTAGAATACTTTTATTATGAACAGGAACAAGTTTAATAATAAAGTAAGATAAATAATAAGCAAAAAAAATATTAATTATTTAATTTAAATTCTGAAAAATTCCAAATTAGGGATATTAATATAAAATAAACCAAAATTGAGAAGGTCGACCAAAGAAATAAAAATTTAAGAAAAAAATAATTCTTGCACTGAGGGGAATTAAAATAATGTGATTCTGATAATTGTGAGGAAAAGTAGTTAGAGCAGATTATTTTGGCTAGGATTATGACTCCATTATTATTATTTTTTGTATTGATCAAAGAAGGAATGAAAGAGTGAATGTACAGCACTAAAAGTTGTTTGAGCCAATAATCTAAAAAAAATTAGTTAGAATAATGAATGTGAGTCAGTTAAAGATAAAAAGAAAAACTAAAGGAATGAATATGAAATACATAGTGATGAGAAGGATTTTAAAAGCCATTCGCTTAAGATAGAACGAAATCATATAATACAGAGTCAATAGTCAAGGATACATACTTATTGATTGTGCAGTTGAAAGGATAGAAAAGACTTAAGTGCTGTTATTTGAAAATAAAAGGGTCATTCATATTTTCTAACGCTATCAGATAGAGGTTAATACTTCAAAGTAAGAAAAAAAATGTGGATATATTAGCAAAGTCAAATAAAAAGTACAATAAATCTAAAAGAGAAGAGATGAATTGGAAAAAAAGCTAAAAGATTTTTGATCCATTAGCTCTGAAGTGGATGGGATTATGAAATAAACAATAATCTATTGGCATAAATTTGAAAATTTAAGAGTTCTAAGATGATTAAATCTATAATTCCCATCCAAAAGTTGTAAGCACAACGTAATGTCAAAAAGTTCTTGGCAACATAAACATCAGAAGGGGATGAACTATTCATAAAAAAAAAAAATTAAAATTTGAATTAGAAAAAAAAAATGAAAGTGCATCATATTCTTGTTAAGACTCATATCAACCGGATGGTATAAAAATATTGCATGATTTTATTATCTTTTTAAACGTTTTATCTCATAATGTGACAACTAATGTGACGAATCTCTGCATGATATAATCTTTAAGTCTTGATGGATGAAGAAATCAAAACAAAGTGTAGCATCACAAACTATAGTGGAGTATTGTTCAATTCCATTTAATTTTCTGCTTTCATAGATCTAACTTAGATTCGGATAGAATGAGAAAAAAATAAAGATGACTGCAAAATCCATTGATAAAAAGCAATAAAACAATTTATTAAATCTTCAATCGATTGTATTCTAAAGATTGTTTAATGCTACAAAAGATAAAATAAGATATTAAACAAATAGAATCCTTAAAATTTAAGCATCGGTTTCCTATAATAAATATGATTGCATCTAATTCCTTTTAAAAGATTTTTAAAATTTCCAGATAACTTTCTATTGAGTGTTCTCTATAGATATAGCTAAGTTTCATTTTGGTTTACTTTAAACTGAATCAAACCAGAAATATAAATAACTCAGCTATTTGTATAGATCATTGACTAAGACAATCTTTCAATTCTTATTGATATATAATAGAAGTTGACTCCAGACATTTGCTCCAGAATAAAATAAAGGCATAACTAAAACCAATATCATATTGAAATATAATAATTAAAATTCAAATATTTTGACTTGTAGACAATTAAGAGAATATGCCATAAATCTAAAGGGATTGGTAGTTATTTAAATTGCATATAAATCACCTAGAATCTATAATCGTAAAATCTTAACAAATAATACAATCTGGAAATAATTCCTAAGTGTTTATACCACAGCGAATAATTTAAAAGAATCAGATTTAAGTTTTCTCAAAAAGTATGATTGCATTCTCTACAATTTGAAGTTGTAGAGCTTAAAATACCTTTGACTGATATTAGTGTTCAGCTCATAGTTAAACTTGAAATAGCAATGATGATCATCAAATTGAATTATCGGAATCCTTACATAATCCCCATTGATAAGGATCAGATGAAGCTCATACCTATTCATTTTAAATTATATATATATCAACATATTCTTTTTAAAAAGATGGGTTGTGAGGAAATCAACCTCTATTACAACTATTAAGTAATTTAATTATTTAAGAATCATAAGCTTCACCAATTTCCAATGTAAAAGAGCAAATTCTAGCATATAAATCATAATTTTTATTGTACCCAAGAATTTTAAAAGTTACTTTTGTGTTTTAATAGATAAAAAACATAGAAAAAAATGAGTAGGTCAAGGAGAAACTTTTTGATAGTCAAATTAAAGGAGATGGATATTTATGAGCTATTCTTTCGGATGTATAATATTTATCTATTATAAAGTATGTATGCAACACCTACTATAAATGAACTTTCTTTGGATGCTAGAATGGGAAAGATTTTCTCTATTGCTTAGAGGAGTGAAATATGGATAGAACGAGAGAAGAGTACCGAGTACAAAATGCTACTTAAATGTCTGGAAAACAGATTTAAGGAACTTGAAGATGAAATATACAAGAGCGAAGAGGACCATAAAACATTAATA